GATGGATTGATACGGTGGCTGCAATGATGAGCTCAAGTATAGCAGGGATTGTGGGGCTGGTGCGGGATCGGGCAGTGCTTCGTTCTGCTGTGCATGGGGTTGCTATGAGTCGGAAACGACTCGACGGCACTTAACAACAACAACAACAAATTCCCAACCTTATATCCTCACACCTGAAGTAGTTTTCACATTTCCTTCCTAGCTTCCATCTTTACTCATTAGTTTGCAATTGGTATTACATGATCATTTTGATTCAATTAAATTCTATGTTGATTTGTCATAACTGAGGAAAATTTAATGTGAAAATCAGACACCATTTGAGCTCACTGAGCCAGCAAAAAGGAAATTTACTTAGGGAAATTCATTAAAGAGTCTGTGTGGCTAAAAAAGACAATATCCTTCAGGGTTAAGTAGGTAGTCTAATTAAAAATATTTGAAAAAAATATTTCATTTTCTGCATAATAAACATCTAGGTATTTAGGTTAGGAAGAAGGGGTGGGTTGAATTAGCTAAAGAAATTGGAATCGCCGTATCATGATAAATCTTCAAGTGTGATATAGAAGGCCACTATAGAAGTTGCCTTGGTGTATGTATTGTATGTATGGTGCATGTACATATCTAAGAAAGTCATGAGAGCATTCCTTTCCACCTCATTTTGATAGTGTTGAAGGTACAGACCAAAAAAAAAAAAAAGCAGACCAAAAGTCAGATGTTGTTGTTGTTGTTATGTGCCATCGAGTCAGACCCGACTCATAGCTATCCCTCCCTGGGTTTCCGAGGCAGTATCACTATGGAAGGAATGGCTGGTGGGTTGGAACTGCCAGCCTTCTAGTTAGCAGTCAAGTGCCTTAGGCACTACTCTATCAGACCTCCCAAAAGTCAGATAATGGTGTTGAAATTAGGAGTTAGGCACCATCACAGATGTCAGGTATGGTTTGCAATGATCCAGTAGCAACCCTGAGACAAATCCACTTGAACCCAAATATTCTAAAGCAAATGACCTCCAGAGAAACCCAAAGGTTGGTGCTTAAGCTACTTGATTTAAATATCGGAGGAATTGTGTCTGTAGGTAGATGAATGACATAAAATGCTTACAACTACATTTGTTGTATTAAACAACAACAAAAAAGTTGCCATCAAGTTGACTCCGACTCATGGCAACTTTATTTGTTTTGGCAGAGTAGAACTGTTCTCTATATGCACAACTTCAAAGGCTGATTTTTTCAAAAGAAAATGCCAGGCTTTTCTTCCAAGGTACCTCTTAGTGAACTTGAACCTCCAACATTTTGATGAGCATGTTAACTATTTGTATCACCCAAGTAGTGCCGTGTTAAAAGAGAATTGTCTTAATTGGTAGCATATATTCATTACTATCCTCCTAGAAAACATTTTGAAACACAAAAAGATGACAGTGATTCCCCATTATGTTGTCAATAGTAAACATTCTTGAATTAAAAGGGAAAAATACCTCAAATTATGATTTTGAAAAGAATCAGGGTGATTTTTTTTTTTTAACTAAGATAATATGTTTTTATTAATAACTTGCCTTTGTCCTTATTAATAAAGCCCATTCTTTCTGAATGGACTGGGAACCGCTCTCATTTCTAAACGGACTATTAAAGAAATTACAAACAGACAATACTATATTAAAAATGCATTGGTATTTTTTCAAAATTTAGGCACCAACTGTTTATTTAGTTTTTAAAAATGCAAACATTCAACTTGATAACCACAGTCAGAGATGTATTTAGTAAAACAGTATTCACTCCTTTTTCCCCCATATTAAAATCCATAAAGCTAGTATGTAAGAACCCTTCCACAGAAAATTTAAGACTAAATTTCTGTTCTATGTTTTTCCTGAATTATTCTTTGGACTCTTGCATATTTCAGAACATTAAAATTGTTTATGCCTCTAATTTTGAAAAATGTGATTGCAGTTAATCAGCACCATGCAAAGCTAACATTGTCCTCTCATCCAACACAACAGACAAAAGTGTATTTAATGAGCACCATGCAACCAATTAGACCAAATGTGGAGGGTTTTTTTTCTTTCTTTTTTTCTTTTCCTCTCCCATGTTAAATACATTCTTAGAACTTTTTTAATGTGATAAAATAAAATATTATTGTTGTTTACTGGTTAAGTGGCCTAGATCTGAAAGCAAACTAGCCTAGTTTCCAAATTGGTACATGGCTTAGGTAGATTATTCAACCCTCTAAAGCCATTTTCCTCAGTAAGTATTATTGAGGAGTCAATGTACAAAAAGGATGAAACAAAGTACTATGAATATAGAATGTTGTTGATGTTAGGTGCCGTTGAGTCGGCTCCAACTCATAGTGACCCTATGCACAGCAGAACAAAACATTGCCCAGTTCTGTGCCAGCCTCATGATCTTTGCTTTACCTGAGCCCATTGCTGCATCCACTGTGTCAATCCATCACTTTGAGGGCCCTCCCTTTCTTTGCTGACC